CTATAGAAGGGAGAATCAAAATCAGTTTCAAACGTCTAATGACAATAAGACCTTATGGAACCAAAAAAATCATACATGAACAAGTCCTATAAATAAAGACCGCAAATATAAGCAACAGCCAACAGCTATGAGAAGCTGAAATGCCTAAACTCGATCGAATTATTCATTGTCGTCCTTCAAATAAAAGAGAGAGAGAGAGAGAGAGAGAGAGAGAGAGAGAGAGACAGAGAGACAGAGAGAGAAACAGAGAGAGAGACAGAGAGAGACTATATGCCTGATGTGTCTACGGCTTGCAAAGTGTCTTTCATGTACCTACTTATGACTGCAATCGTTAGCAGTTCTTCCAAAAACAGTAATATTTAACAAAAATTCCAATCACGATGAAAGATGGTTGCTTCCTTTTAAAAACAAGACGCCATTTGGAGAAAGTTGAAACTGATCGGGATCATCGATTGAAACCAATTAAACCTCTGATAATCTCCAGTATTCGATTCTGGATTGTCACAACCGTGGTTGAACTGAAAAAGCGACTCGAGTGGAGGCAGAAATTTACATACGGAGAAAAGAGTAGAATAAATGACTTGATATCTAAGAAATCAACTACACGAGATGGTTACGAATGCTACAGCTTGCCTCTATGCCCTTCTGGGAAAAAAAAAGCATGCAGAGTTGTTTTTTTTAATTAATAAACTTTATATCTCTGAATGTTAAAGCTATTTTCCCGACATGGCGCATTGGACATATGATGCTAACATATATTTTCCAAAGACCAATCATCACTTGACAGGTGATTTGGTCAACATCACATGGGTGACTTTTACTTTCCATAACACTCCCGTCTAGTCATTTAAGGTGTACTTGACCTGAAAGCCTCAGACTTCTTTTATTTCTCTTCTAGGCCTGTTTTGTCTTTCATTGTTCGGTTTGTAAAGGGCTTCGGGTGCGATGCTTGGTACGGGTTGCCAATATCCTGGTATTTAGGCTGTTATTAATTTGTTCACGGCTTGCGTGGTTGACCTCTAGATTTGCTTCTATTATTTCTAAGTGACAGGGCAACCTGCGGTTCAGTATCTGTTGGTAGTCTTGACACAAAGTCTTTTGCCAGAGTAATGTTTAAAAACCCGAATCAAAGGGAATTCGAACATACGATTCTCGGATTGACAGACAAGTGTCTGGTAGCACAAGGCATGGTACCAAGACAGAGGGCTGGGACTGACCTGTACGAAGGTAGATGATTTAAGTAACACTTGGATCTGAATGTGCACGAGCCGGGAGATCTGACGAAAGAACAAGGACCTTGCAGGCGTGCTGTGAAAATGACCTGGCATATGACGGTGGGATTTCCATTAACTTCGGTCAATATTAACTGATACATTGTAAGGATTTTACAAAGCATGAATGTCATTTTCCCCGGTGTATTCCGACTTTCATAGTTTACTCTTTCACAATACTGCATACACTTAGAAAGCGTCCGTGCAACTAAGATGCAAAAAGTTACGGCGTCGGAGCTGTGTCATGTTTCAAGAGCCATTTCAGATCCGGGTCGTGTGCTAATTATTGCTAACAACAAAGTTTTCCTTATTTCGCCTTCCGCTCCTGACACTGCATGTTTTTAAGGTGGTTGACCTCAGTAGCTTGGTGTTTATTAATTTTATCTAAATACTGGCTTATGTAGTAAGAACATATATACCGTCCTTTTTAGGATGAAATTTTTCGTTATTTGAAACCCCACCCTGGCTCTTGCCGGGGGCCGCAATAAAGCCAGGCCATAAATATGGCCTAATGGCTAAACGTGGTTTCCGGGACCTCTCCACGGTGATCCTCATCCACATAGTGGCACTTTGTGTCATCGGGTATCTATCGCTTGTGTGATGTCCTGGTGGGGTAGAAAGTCGGTCAGTTTGTCAGACTGGCTTATGTTTTCGGTTTGAAGCCACACAGGAACTGGTGTTTTACAATTCACATAGAACTCCTGGGTCGACCAGCCATAAATGGGAACCAGGAAATACCCTGGATGTAAAGGCGGCCGGTGTGAAGTGACTTTACTACCAACTGAGTATCTATTGGTCTGTAACAGAATGGTTGTCACATCATATTTTATTTTTATAAAAGACATTGAAGACTTATTGACATTGACCAATGAAGACTAAAGAAAACCGACCACCTGCGAAATGAGATAATTTGAGATAGGCTGTGAACAAAACTAAACGAGATCATGTAAGAAACCAAGAATTTACCAGAACTACTGGAAAAACGTTAACAATAAAATTAGCCTAACAAACAAACAAAACAAAAATCTCGAATCGTTTGGTCATGTCATGTTCAGCATCACCATGATGCGCAGTGCCGTTAAACACAGGCTGTTATTTTTCTCCATCTCACAAGATCAGTATATCAATATTCGTAAGTTTGTTTATTGTGATGTTTTAAAACATTACGGTTACTCAATTAACTGTAAGCGGGCTGATTGTTTGCTCTGAATAGGTGTCTGGTTTTCGAATACCATAAACAAAAAGACAAAACAAAACTAGATGCTTGTTTACATTTTTAGACAAAATCTTTACAAGGATATGACTATTTATAAGTTGCGTGCCACATTTTAACAACTTGCATTAAACCGTTACTGAATTCAGCATCATCAAGTGCGTTACTGACTGACGTGGGCGATCATGCCTTTCCACAATCTGCTATCTATAACTGCGTGCACCAGTTCCTGTGTTGGCACCCCTCCATGCCATGACAAAAGACTGTCAAGAATCTTCTCACGCTGTGTTCCTCTGTCTCTGTTTCCTCAGATCTTTCCATTGGTCACGACATGTTTCATTTTTCTCCTTTCTCATAGCATGTCTCCACAAAAAGGATTACTATCCCATTCTGATGTTTATGATAAGTTGTCTTCGAACATTTGCCTCTTTCAAAACATCTGGGTTGCTCTTCTTAGCTGTCCACCGAATTCTAAGGATATTTCTTTAAAACCGCCTCTCTGAGGCCTCACGATTTTGTTCTGCTTGTTTTTTAAGTGTTCAGGCTTCACATCCGAATTATGTTAACTGGTTCTATATAGCATGCAAGAATTCTTTTCCTAACCTCCAATGACGTGGATTTTATGCACAAAACGTTCTTCATTTTGTAGAATGCAGTTTTGGCTTGGCATATTCTGTTCTTTTTCTCTGTGATACATCTTCTATGGGATGTTACCCATGTGCCTAGATACTTACATTTCTGTACTTGTCCTAAAATAACTCAGTTAACTGTAAGCATGAGTTACTGAGCTATAAACTTGTAAAGTTGGGCACTCATTCTGGAACGGACTATGGGTACGCTTCTAACAGCAGGTGGAGGATGTATTTTTAACACGGTAAATACACTATAGTTGAAGTAACAGAAACATTCCATAAGATGACGAATATTATATTCTACACACAAACACACACACACACACGCACACGCTAGTTGCGTATCCTTTAAAGGGCGTTGCAGAACCAACCCCAGCCTATTTTCTTGGCTGTGCTGTTTTTCTAGGCAAATTGTACGTTCAGTTGTTCGCCATTCCTTTTTAAAATGGTCAGCTTTCGGTATCACTGACGACACACCAACGCAAGACGGTCTGCTGCCAAATCGCCGATTATGTAGAAGCTTTATAAATAGGGTTCTATGAATGAATGATGTAAGCAAAAAACTCGTAAAGTGAAGGACAGGTTACCCACACATTTGAGCGTATTGGGCATATAGGGCTGGACCTGTATTTTATAGATTAATCGGCACTTGGATATTGGGAGTATCACAGGTTAAAAAAAAATTAGTTTGGTGTAAGACTAAGGGGGGGGGGGGGGGAGGTGGTGTTTGAGTCTGAGGATTTGGGGCCCACGCGGCTAGTGCTGTAGTCACAGCTGGGTACGTTAGGATTTTTAAGTTTTGCTCCTCCCTCCCCCTTCCCTGAAAAACGAATCAATTTTCAACACTTTATGAGGATCGAACCCTGGTCTCCCGCTTGAAAGTCCAGCGCTGGAACCACTCAGTCAGCTGCTTTCCAACATACTTACTACTATTAAGTTATGTCATTCTGGTCTATCCTATTTAAATGGAATGTTCTTCAACTCAAACCCACTGAATCAAAATGAAAAGCCAGACCAACGGTGACAATGAGAAACAGAGGATGGTGGGAAAAGCAATGAACTTGTTAGCGAAGAACTCGACCCTTTGGTGCTAGTTAGTTGATAGCTTATGCTCCACGGGGGGATAAAGGGCAGGAAACGATAAAGCGCCCTGTGAAGCACTGACAGGTTACAACATTACAACTAGGGCTGTACCGAGTAGTGATTTTTACTATACGGCCGAATACGAATAACGGGACCAACTATTCGGTCGAATACGAATACGAATACGAATAGTGTATAGTGCATAAAATATATCTAAAATAAAAATAAAAAGAAGTACACATTCATAATGTCAAATGGACGCTGAACTTTTACTTTACAGAAAGGAGCACAGAATAGTCATCTTCTTCTTTAGCATTCTGAGCCCTTGAGGTTTACTGCTGCAGATATCACTCGTCTCCATTCATTTCTCTGGCTGGCCTTATCTTCACAATTTGTGACACCAGCTGTTTGCAGGTCTGTCTGGACATTATCTCTCGAACTTCTTTTGTGTCTGCCTCGTGGTCTACGCCCATTCCTTTTTCAGATGTATACAGTTTTTACTTCTCTGTACTTGGAAATTGTCACTGACAGCTTAGTTAATGCATGAAAGCTGCATTAGCTTTCAACAAAACCAATCGTTCCATGTTCTCAGCATTAAGGCAATGTATACAGAAGCAGGTTTAAGGTAACTACTATTCGTATTAGGCCCGACCGCAATATTTGGCCGAATACCGAATAGTCAATATGTCCACTATTCGGCCCTAAAGCGAATACGAAGCGAATATTTGGTACAGCCCTAATTACTACCGTTGACGTCCATTTATTAACTTGAAAGTTTATCAGATGTATTCTCCCCCACAGTCACAATGGTCATCCTCAACTGTGTCTACATGAAATACGTGACCAAAGTACAGACCTTACTGTCCGGATCCAAACTCCTTGTTCTTCTGCTCATCATCGGAGCTGGCATTTACAATCTCGCTAAAGGTAAATAATATATTCGTATTGACAAAATACTGTGATCGTTTCTAACACAATTTTTTTTTTTAAATTAATTTCTTGGAATTTCTAATAATTTGTTAGTAAAGTAATTTCTTCACATTTATTAAAACGTGTTATTTCAATCAATATCTCAGCATTTAAATTATTCATTGTTTCTGTACTTTTACTTTTATTCAATTTTTGTTTTCAATTCCTTAAATTTCCTTGCCTATTTATCTTTAGTCCTTTTGCTGCTGTTTATTTTTCAGTCTTTGGATTTCGTTTTTCCCCTACCTGTTTGCGACAATTGTCTTCTATTTTCGAGTATTACTCTATTAAGTTTTTTTATTTTTTTTCATTTGGCCATGACATAATTTATACCACTCTCTTTATTCAATCAGTTCTTCTTTCAGGGGTCTTTATATTTATTTATTTTTTGAATACTAATTTTTCCGTGTTTTTTTTTTATATTGTTCCTTTTTGTTTCACCCTCCCACAGTCTGTTGTTTATTGGCATTGAACTTAATCGAATGTCTCTTCCAATCCATTTATGTTATTCCATCCATTTGTGTGTGTGTGTGTGTGTGTGTGTGTGTGTGTGTATGTGTGTATGTGTGTATGTGAGTGTATATATAAACCACATTTTTGCTGACATTATATATTTTGCATCTTAGCTGCTTATTATTAATAATGACCATACATACAACAGTGCAGATTCCCTGTAGTACGATAACACACAATTCTCTTCTGTAATTAAGGTCGTATTAGTAAATTTAAATGACCTTAACTCCCAGGACTATTCAGTCTTCCCGGTTAGCAGGGAATTTTCAACCAAAACTCAGTTTGTCGGTCCCCTGGAATTTGTGTTAAAAGGGTTTCCCTGTATTGACATTATTGTTATTATTATTATTATTATTATTATTATTATTATTATTATTATTATTATTATTATTATTATTATTATTATTATTTGCGCTATCGTTGTTGTTATTATTATTTGCATCCACATTAGTGTAGAGGCTAGACGCCCACAAGCTCTCTCGAAGGTGAAAAGTTCCAGTCTGCAAAGAAAGAGAATTGTGTTTCCTTCCACACTGGACCTTGGCTCCCAACGCAGCCTAAAATAGTTACCAAGTAATCTCTTGGGAAGTAAAGGCAGGCGGTGTGATGTGACCCCATCAACAACCGAATGTCGACAGGTCTATAAACTGTAGGTCTAGCACTAAATACTGGATGTGCCATTTTCGTGGACATTCTTCTTTGCTATTATTTTAATTACGATTATTGCCATTATTATATTTATTATCACCACCACTACCAACATGACTACTTTTATAATTATTATTAAAACAGGAAAGACGGAAAATTTTGAGGCCCCCTTCCAGACGACCACAAAGGAGCCTGGAAAGTTTGCTTTAGCTATCTTCTACTCTATTTTCTCCTATGGAGGTTGGCAGGTCATGACAACCTTACTGGAGGAGGTCAAGGACCCTGGAAGGTCAGTTGCCTTATTAACTTCAGTGTTTAGACATTGATTTTGTTACTTAGTAACAATGGAAAAGATGGAACCGATGTCCTCCGTCGCCAAGTGGTCAGGCGGTTTGTCTAGCGCTCTAAAGGTCATGGGTTGGTTTTTACTCATTCAGTCCCAGTCACCTCACCATGCGTTTGTTGAGCTCTCTTTTTAGATACTATTCCTTGCTTTCTGTTCCCCCGTCCAGAGACTATTTAACTTACTCTGCTTCCATTGTTGCTTTATGTCCTTCTTTCTCGTGGTGTTATTTTGTTATCTCCTTATGACTCAACCATTTTGTAGTTACAGTAATAAATTTTTTGCATTTAATATGAGTACAAAGCACACAACCTGGGACTTAAAGAATTTAAGGAGGCATTGCTAAGTGTGCATCGAACCATTTGGCCCATAAGTGTTCGGATCCCCCATTTAGTAAATGTCTCAGCGTGTAGCGGCTCACGACACCAGTTCTATATTGGTTTTCTATTCTTCTTAGGCTTCCTGCATAGTGCTCTTGTTTGGCCACCCCTCTTTTAACATGTTGTTCTTGAAGACTGGTCATGGTTGCAGATTTACAGTCATCACTTGGTTCTCGCAAACGACTTATTTCTCGTAGAGTATTCAGACTTTAGGTCCAATACATCTATAAGACAGGAAACAAAACAAAAATATGTGTCTGATTTTATTAGAAAGCGTCGCTGGAATTACATCGGTCACGTACTCAGAATGGACATACAGAGACTTCCCCACCAAGCCTTCATATGGTCACCAGAGGGTAAAAGAAAACAGGGAAGACCAAAAGAAACTCTCCGTAGAACCATCACAAGGAAGAGCTCAACCATAGGTCTCAGTCGCACTCAAGACCTACATCAAGTGGCAAAGAACCGACAGACGTGGAAAGCTAAGACCTCTGCCCTATGCGCCATCTTTGGCACAAGAGGAATAACTAACTAACTAACTATTCAGAATTTCAGCATTGTTCATTGCTCGTCTGCCCTCCACAGTAGCTTTACCTGCAAGCCGATCAGCTTACTCGTTTCTTTGCATGCCTGCATACAGTGGCACAAATTTGAAACTTGATTATGTGTCAACCCCGGCCGTTTTAATGACTCCAGCAACTCAGTTCAAGAGTGCAGTTTTTATTTTGGAGATCACCTTGGGATCGTTCTTGAATGGCAAATATATATAATAATACGTTTGAAATAATATGAAATGTATACTACCTTAAAAAAGAGTACGCTTAAAAATAATTGTAAGTGGGCCCTCATCCTTTTAGCAAATTATTCAAGGGGTACTGGGAGGGTAGGAGAGCTCAGTCCGCAATGCATTTTTGAGGTGTGGGGAGCTCAAAGTGCATAGATCCGCATGTAAGACCCCCCACACTCCACCCTTTTCCAACAATGTGTAAGGGAAAACCCCCGATGGAAAAAAAGTCGACCATCTTGTCTGTAAACTGTTGACCCCAAACAAACCAACAGACAGATGATTTGGTGCGAAATTCTTCTCTGTGTGGGTTCTGGGGGCTCCCATTGTGAGGGCAAAACTAGAATAGACCCACTGTCCCCCTAACAAGCACGTCGTTAAAAAAGTCGACTAATTGGGGGTGCTTCATTGGAAGTCAAAGTACGTCTATTTGAGAGGCGAGAAATCGACAGTCTGCATACAGATCTGTAAAACGGGTGTGCACGCAAAATTATTGTTTTAAACAAGATTAAGTCTGACGTTAACGAACAGCTAGAACTTTTTGCAGAAAATTACAGCTGGGGAACGCGATGCAGAAGAAGAAGAACAAGGCGCGAATTGGATGAGGGCCTATGCTCCGCCGGGGTGGGTGCGGGCAAAGGACAGAAAAAGGAGAACATTTAACCCATTTGTTTAGCTTGAAAATCAGTTTCATGTTATAAAAGAAGCCTCGTTAGCGCAGTCGATAAGAGGCTCGCTTTCAAATCCAGCTGCGACTCGCTACAGCCCGCGGTCGGTGTATGAAACCAGGCGGTTCATATGGTTTACCAAGCCTCTAGGTAATGGGTACCAGAGTTACCACTCTGATGTAAATGGAGGAACGTCGCTGTAGCTACGGAGTTGCTTGCGGACGGCGATACAGGCGGAAAGTTTCTTATCGGCTGTCCGTACTGGTGGCAGAGCACTCATGGTTTATAACCGCGTGCAATGAGGCTGGTTCAAATCCGCCGACTTTACCTTTACTTAATATTATAATTCATTATCTCCAGTTGACGAAATCTAAAGTAAACCGAACCGTTTGAGCATTGCTTTTGTTTTCATCAAATTTCAGGGACCCGCCTCGTTCTGTGTACATTTCATTTGCAATCGTTATTTTGAAGTACATCATGACAAACGTTGCTTACATCACACTACTGACACCTTCAGAGATTGTAGGATCCTCCGCAGTGGCGTCGGTAAGTAATTATCTTAGTGTTATATAATCGCAAAATTTGGTCTCAACCAGTCATGTAGCGTCTCTGTATTTAATGTTGCTTTGATGGATGGTCAGCCTTTAGTCTTCAGGCACTGTGGGCTCTAGTGCAACGACATTCTAGCTATATTGTTATGTGGATTGCTTATCAGATTATCTGAATGTGTTTCCAGCAGCAGAATTGTTCCACAAATCCTGATTAACTGGAGTTTGTTTAGTTTTTCCCGTGTTTTATTATCAGTCGTCATCCCCTTGTGGGATGCAATTTTTCGTTTTTTGAAGCTCCCCCCCCCCCCCCCTCTCTTCCTCCCTCCTGGCAAGACGGACGTTTAATCATAATGCTACTGGCACCATTTGTATCAGAACTCTGCGCTGGCTGCTGAGGATGGGGACGGAGCGCTTATGGGAATGCCCCGAGTGCTGTGATGTCGGTTCCTGAATCAAATCAAATCAAACCATAACCTTAATAATGGGTTTACACTCAGATCTTCCGCCCCTTGAGAGCCGCCGCTGTGTAGCAGCTAGACGCCGGCCTAGAATCGGAAGGTTGTGAGGTCAGGCCTTGACAGAGCCATACAATTTTTAAAAAAATGACCTTCGCCCCTGGGTTGACCCAGGCTTGAGTGGGCACCAGGTACAGCTGTAGAACGTTAAGACGGCCGGCGTGACTCTGACCACATCACTCGCCAAGTGCCGAGTGGCTCATGAATTATACATCTAATTCTATATATCCAATACACCTGACGGCGTTGAAAATGGTCCTTTACTTACTTACTTACTTCCTCTTCTCAACTTCAAAGAAACTGGACAATTACAATACACACACACACACACAAAATGATTTCATCATGAAAGCTAAACAATAGAGGCAACAACAACAAAACTGACTTCATAGACTTACAAACACTAAACTCCTCGTGTGGGTCCTGAGACCCTGTTATATAAAAAACAAGAATAGACCCACTGCCTACCCAAAAATCATGTTGAAAGAGTCGACTAATTGGGAGCTTCCTTCAAAGTCGGAGTACATCTGCCTGAAAGGTAAGGAACCAATAGTCTGCATACAAATTAGTCAGATCTGTCAAAAGGATGCACACGCAACACTCAAATTCTGCAACAGGACTGCAGTCCAAACAACCAAAACTTTCCGCCAGAGTTTACAGCTGGTGAAAAAGACGAAATACTAAAGCAGTCTAAAAGAAATCGTCCCAGAGAGATTTTGGTTTAGGTTTAGACGACGGATCAACGTCATGGCACAATGGTAGTAACCCATTAATTAGTCTTCCGTTCTTCTTCTGAGTCAAAGCGCAGTGCACGAACTTAGTAGCACCGGCGAGGATCCTGAAATACTTTAGAGAAAGTTTGAACTCAAAATTTTGCCCGGGCAGGGCCGTTAGGCTACTATTTTTCGATTTCCAACTGCCAGGGGATTGTTTTAAATTGCGCAACAAAACACACGGGCGTCTGATCTTACTACCCAGAGAACAGGGGAAATTACTATAAATCAGCATAAAAACAATCCCTGCCTTCGACGGGGCTTGAACCCGGTACCTCCAGCTCTCGAGACTGACATCATGCCTCGAGACCACGCAGCACCCTCCCAGAAATATTTCGTGGCCGTTCACATTTCTCATTATGTCTCACAATGTTGCCTCTGAAGCCTACAGGTTGTGTAATCTTCTTGTAAGAATATTCTCAATACAGAATTAATTGAGAACAGCTTACAGTCGTGCGCGAGTGAGCTGAAATTGGGGACATAAAACTTTAAAGCCATACTTAACCGCATTTCTTGTCACTAGGCAACGAGTTTTATAGAGTTCGCTTCTTCGAAGAACAAATGATGTGCCTAATGTGATCAAGGCCATTCTGGTCGCCTTTACTTTCATGAACATGTTCTATTACCCTTTTATGGCGAAACTAGTTTACCATCAAGTTTCTTGCCGACTGGCGTGATCGATCGTGTTTCTGCATATTTTCTGATCTTTAATAGAAACCTCCTATGTTACTTACTAACCTAATGTGCTTTGATTCAAGGCTCTAAAAAAATTTTCTCATCTTGTCTATGTGTCTCTTCTTCAGTAATTCTTTCGTTCTGTAACATATTCTATTTGTGTTTGTTTTTTCACTTCTGTAGATGTGCTAACCATTTCCTCTACCCACACCCATGGCACAAACACACACACACACACACACACACACACACACACACAAATACGGATATACAGTACTAGGGACTCTGACACAAAGAAAACATTCGGGCGGGGAAGGTGGTGGTCGCCACAGAGGATAAATTCAAAGTATTATTGCTACAGCGGACGAGTGAGGGAATCCAGAGAGGGAGGGAATCCGTCCGTACAGAGCTCCAACAACCTGTGGAAGTACCTAAGTGTGTGTTTATATATATATATATGGAAGTTATTATAATAGTATTTTCTAAATCATAATATAGACCCGGCTCGCTAGCTCAGTTGGTTAAACATGACATAGCAGCATCGGGGTGAAGAATTCCTTGTGGTCTGTGTTCATGCCGAGGGGTAGGCAGAAAAGCCACATATCTCCCAGATTTACGATATCAATCACGGAATAACAAACACTTTTTTTTTCCGGCTCATAATAAGAAGAGAAATATTGGAGAACATCGTGACAACTGGAAAGATCAGTGGAAAAAGAAGTAGAGGCAGACCCAGAGAGATTATGCTAGATGGGCTGAAAGGATGGCATGGAGGGATATCATCAAGAAAGCTGTTCCTGACAACCAGGGATCGTGATCTGTGGAGACGCATGAGCGCCTACGCCAGTTGGCAGGGCACATGATGATGATGAAGATGATCACGGAACAAGTCCGAAAGTTTACGATATCCATAGTATCGAGCCAAAGGGTTAACATCACATGGTTTCTGGATATTTAAAAAAAATGTTTAATCATGTAGCACATATTAACAAACAATTAAAAGAGAGCTTCTATGTATGGTCAGGGGAAACACAAATTTCCCATACAGACGTTCTGTTCCACCGCCTTCCTTTTCCTACAATTAACCCGGAAAAAAAGGGGGGGGGGCGGGGGCTCTCAAAGAGCCTCACCTGCTATGTTGCGACGCGCCTGCACACAATGATGACTGCTTTTTCCCGATGGTCTCGATAAGCTGTCTGGACACACTAGTGTCGTGTTGACATGCATGCGGATTCGTGCTTTTTTTTTTTTTCTCATCTTCTATTTTCCAGCGGCGTGCACCAGACCGTTCGATACAACTATGACTTAGTTTTTAGAGTTCTTCTCTCATTGTCTGTGTCCCAGTCTTTTCTGAAATGTTAGTCCCACTTGGCACATTTCGTTTTAATTGTCCTCTTCTCGTGGTAAAAGGTAAGTCTTTTTATGCTTATCGGGCATATAGGGCTAGATCGATGTTTGTATAACCCAATCGGCACTCAGTGCATAAAGTGGTGAACATTACGTCGGCTGCCTTTACTTCTCAGGGCTATACTTAGTACCCACTGAAGGCTAGGTCGACCTAGAAACTAGTCCTTTTTAAAAAAATTCCTTTTCCGTTAGGACTTGAACCCGCGACCTTCCCTTTCCAGAGACAAGCGTCTAGTCACTCCTCTTCCAGCGATGCGAACTAAAACATTTGTGACTGCCTCTCATTATGTTTGCAGTACGGTGTGGTGGTGTAGTTTTATAGACGACCAATGGGAATATCTTGCACAGATAACGGGAGTCATGGGGATGTTCTGAAAGAAACTGACTGCTCACACCATAAGGAGAGAATCTACATTCGTTGGCTGTGTCGTGAGAAAGAGAAAGCTGGATGTTCTGAAAGAAACTGACTGCTCACACCATAAGGAGAGAATCTACATTCGTTGGCTGTGTCATGAGAAAGAGAAAGCTGGATGTTCTGAAAGAAACTGACTGCTCATTTCGCAAGGAGAGAATCTACATTCGTTGGCTGTGTTACGAGGAAACAAAAAAAAACAACAACTGGATGTTCTGAAAGAAACTGACTGCTCACATCGCAAAGAGAGAATCTACATTCTTTGGCTGTCACGAGAAAATGGAGTAGACAGTGACTGTGGGAAAGTTGGAGTGGTCAAGAGACAGAGAGAGAACGAGAAAAAAGATGTTGGGAAGTTTTACATCATAACATGGAAGATTATCTGTGTCAGAACTGACTGAAAGTAAACGAGATAGAAGGTTGTGGATATACACGACTAACAGCGCCATTCGGCATGGACTATGATAAGAAGTAGAAGTTGTACTCAGATCTCTTAGCCTCTTTCGAAACATTTAACTACTCGCTTTTGGGCTGTCCAGAAATTTTAATTACTCTTTTATAAAGCAACGCCTATAAGCTGTAAATTCACCACAAACTGTCATAACAAAAATAAGGGATTATAAAGTACTTGGTGAGATTTATGTTTGGAAAGTACAGCTCTGGGAATGTTGGAAAACAGTGGGCAGACAGATAAGCTGGCTGCAAAGAGTTATAATATATTTATATTATAAATTCTTAGTTTGCTATTTGGGGAGAAAATAGCATATATTTAGTTATAAAAATGTATAGTAAATTCAGATTATTTTTCTTGCAGATTATATTTACATAATATATTGTTATCCGTGTCCATGAAGCAATATGTCACCTCAGCCTTGGCAGATGAACTAGTCTTTTTTTTTCTTGAAGTCTGTTTTGTGTTGAGCTGGTAATCTTGTCTGTTCTATAATGTATTGTTCTTCTTGTTCGCCTTGTGATGTATGTAGTCGTTTCTCTCTCTCTTTCTCTCTCTCTCTCTCTCTCTCTCTCTCCCTCTCTATCACTCTCATTTTCTCTCTCTCATTTTGTGTGCTTCTCTCTCTCTCCCTCTCTCTCTCTCTCTCTCTCTCTCTCTCTCTCTCTCTCTCCTCTCTCTCTCTCTCTCTCTCTCACACACACACACACACACACACACACACACACACACGGTGTATGTTTGTCTCTCACTTTTTGTTCG